TCCTGCAAGCAACAAGAATCAGAGGCACCTTTGGAGTTTCTAGCATAGCTATGTCACTTAGAAATAAGAGAGTCTTTCTGCTGCTGGCTTTTCTGACAGAAGCCCTAAAACCAGTTCCAAAGGCAGTTTGGTGGGACACAAATACAGATTTTAGGAAGTAAGACAAGATCTACAGTCAAAAGGTTTCTTTCACAAAGACAAGCTTTTCTTGTGTACATTTAAAGTCCATAATGAGCAGGGAACTACTACTCCTTTCAGCACCTGAGGTAGGACTGAGGAAACTTTGAAATCTACAGGATGGAGACTTTTTGTTTGTCTGAATGTAAGTGACTGCTGCTTACTCCAGAGCTGAAATCTGCACTCACAGATAGTGGCCTCGCTCCATAGCACTCCACCTTTCACCAAACATCTATGTGAGTGAGCTGGGATGACTTTTGTTGGTGACCTGGTCACCTCTACATCACCTCTACACCTGCTCTAACAACTTAGGGCAGTCTGATTTTAATTCCACTTTGCATCATGCTCCTTGTCATGCCTGGTTTCTGTGAAAAACCACAGAACACTTTAGATGGGAAGGGGTCTCAGCTGGACATCAAGTTCAACCCTCATGCTTTAAACTGACTTCAAATTGACACCAAGTCCATTAAAGCCTTGTCTAGTCAGGTTTTCACTATATCTGTGGATGGATATTTCAGAGTACAGCTCTATTCACTATAGAGACTGCAAATTTTGCTTACCTCTGTGCAGCCACAGGCTGATTTTGAGTAAAATGCTGCATCATGGCCTGGTGTAAAACCACAGGTGAAATGTGCCATCATACCTGTAGCACGTTGCAAAGAACTGTCAAAAGGATATACGATGAGCAGGTCTAAGGTCAAAAGAAGAGGTGTTGCCCTGTAAAGAAAAGGCCTTAGGGAAACTGGTACAGTATAGCAATTTGGGGAACTGGCACTGAACTGAGCTTCACGGATTTACTCTTGGCCAGATACCTAAACCATTTGGCTCAGTATCATTCCAGAAGCAGTCATTTTCAAAGTGATGCAACAAGGAAATAAATCATCTTTATTATATGGAAAGCAATCGCTGTGCAGTCTCTGAGGAAAAGAAATGTTGTAAACAAGAGGATGCATTTGTCTTGGAAAACTCAGATTCCAATAAATACAGGTGATTGTGCATGACTAATTATACACACAGTCTTGTGCACAAAGTTATATACAGAAAATATGAGTATTTTATTATGGTTTGAGGACTTCTTGATCATCTTTGGATTTCTTACTGGAATTTAAAAACTAGTGCTGTGGCTGGCTGTCTCAAAGGACAGCAAGTCAGATATAAGCTGTCAGGGTTGGTAGGAAATATTTTAGCCTTAGTTATTTTAAGAACTAACTAAAAAACTTCATTTTATTGTTTCTTCTTTTGTCTAAACCCACCCTCCTCACCCTGCCAAGATACACACAGGTCCTCTGCCCATTGAAAACACCTGATTTCATGCAGAATGTGCTTGTTACTCTCTCATTTCCTAAGGTACCTTTGCTTGAATCAGAGGGTTCAGACTAACTGCTTCCCTTGTCCTTGCTTGGAAGAACATCGAGCTTTTGTGTACATTTGTGCACATGAAGGCTCTGCTGTGCTCTCAAAAGCCTCTTGCTCCAGTCACAAGAAGATCACACAGCTGGCAAAATTGCTTTAGCCCTCCCAACCTCTGGCTGATACAGGGTTTGTGTACTTTGACCATGAATGCTACTGAAGTCCATTAATGGCTGCTTTTTATTATATTTGTCCCCATCCACAGAAGTAATTACAGGGGACCTGTGCTTTCCCTGTGACTCTTCACAGTTGAGCTCTGCCCAGAGCCAGAAGGACAGTGCATATTCATAGTGAGGAAATAAGATCAATTCTTCATCCTCACATAGCATTTTCACCAGCATTTTTGGAGATAATAGGGAGGGACCTTCTGCATAAATTAAAAAAATAAAAGAACAACAACAAAAAAAAAAAAAAAAAAAAAAACACAAACAGAGGAGGGTTAATAACAGTTTCTTATTCTGTGTCTAGTCAAGAAATATGCTTATTTATTGTTTTTTTTTTGTAAATTAGAAACAATTTTTTGGCCTGATAATTGCTCTGTATACTCTCTTAAAGAGTTGTAAGATCTCCCACAAAGGGAAAGTGTGTACAATTATTGTACAATTATTTGTACAATTGCTAACAAAATGGGTTCTGATTTAGGAGTGGAGTTCTCAAGTGTGCGCATGTTAATACTAAAATCAATAAGAAATGTCATCTAGAACAATTGCTATAAGTACTATAAAGGAGCTCTCTTCTGACACCTCTGTTTATAAGAAGAGCTTTCTCTCCCAGATGCACACACACAATTTGGGGACCACTTCCTCTTGTTTTTGACTTTTTTCCCCTCTGATTGAAGTAACCTTTCCACTGAGAATGTATAGGTCAACAATCCTTCCTTTTGCTACAGGAATTCAATTCATTGCTGAAGGGAAGAATAAAAAAAGAAATACATTCTGGATCTAAAGGGAACAAGACTGAAGGTCTGAGCAAGACTTGCCCTTGGCATTTCCTCTTGCCCTGCTCCTGCAGGCAAGCAAGGTTACAGGGGCCCTCTGTCAATCTTAAGGAAATACATTTCATTTGAAGCAAATGTTACCCTAGTCCACTGATGCCATAAAGAAAAATGTTGGTCTAAAGTTTAAAGGAGTGATCTCAGCTGTGGAAAGGGCAGTGGCAAATTTGGGGAGCCTTTGCTTTGACCTCTCTTGATCTGGACTTTGTTGATTAATGCACACAGAGTGGCCCAAAAAAAGAATCCAATAATAAAGTGATTAAGAGTGCTGAACCCAAAAGTCCCCCTGACTGGCCAAATGTATGTGCCATGACTCCTGCTCCCACCATGTTGCGGGTTAATGTAAAACAAGATTTTGGGGACTTCAGCTTCCCTTTTGGCAAACAAGAGGCTCCTGAGAAGAGTTGTGGTTATTGTACAGTTAGTGCTTCACTCAAAGGAATCCATTTCAGGGATGAGTTTTAAACATGTCAATAAATCACACCACTGACATTAATTTTTTTATCACTTCTCACCAGTTTTTCCCCATACTATATGTTGTCATTAAAGAGTATTTTATGATAATGGCAAATCAGAATTGAATGCACAGTGCTCTTTCTCCAGGAAGTTGGGCTCCATCTCTCTGAGATAAAGGAAAACTTATACATGTGATCTGCCCACTATCCAGGAAACTTAGTAGAAGTTCCCTGGTTTAGCCCACTCTATGTGCAAAAACAAATTGATGACAGGAGTTCTCATGATTAAATTTACAACTTAAAAGTACTTTTAATCCAAACACCTTTTTTTGGTTTTATCTTTTTTTTTTCTCTCTGGTTAACAAACATCATAAAAGTCTCTTCTGAATCTTCATGAGTACCCTAATCTGGGCATTAGTGAACCAAAATTCCTCAGGCAGGGGATGCTGACACCTTGCAGACTTTTCTGAAGGGATAAGAGAGACCTGAAGAATAAGGACAACTCAGAAAACCATCTCCTGGCTGACTTCACACAACAGAAAAAGCGAGAAGAGAAAGGTCACAGGAAATATCTGTTGCCTTTCTTCTTCTCTCCCACCAATCATCATGTGGGAAGTCTCTCCTATTCCAGAAGCAAATAATCCTAGAAGGTTAAATATTGCAGAAATTCCAGGTTTTAACGGACTGAGGAATTCTTGCTTTCATTCTTGCTTCCCCATGATTTCATTGCACAGGAAGAGAAGAGCAAGCTCTGCTTGCAAGTGATGTTTACAGAAGCAATAGAGGCTTGCTGGCTTCCAAGGAGATGTTTAATGCAGTATCAGCATCACTATCCTGGGGCAGGAGTGCAACAGGAACTGTCAGCAAGATCTCTCCATAGGCGGAGGCATCAGTACATGAAAACAAGCGGCAGTGCTCTAGTATGTCATATTTCATTTGAAAAGTAGTTTTATTATGTGGTTTCCAAGGTCCTATTACTATTCCAGCTAAAGGGAGGAACACCCTGAATTGATAGCATCACATATCTTAATTGCTTGAGCAGGTACCTGCCAGTGTAGAGAAGGCAAGAGGCTTTTAGAGTAATAATGAAATTACCTGCACATTCCATGAGAAGATCTCAAAATACTTCAAAAGAGGAAGTCAACTTCACTATTTCTATCCTATAGAAATGGTTTATGCAGAGGATATTACACTCTCCTTTTATGCCTCCATACACTAGGAAAGGATTTTGTAATGGAACAAAGTCTTTTGTAATGGGTAAATCACTACTATTTAATTAAGATAGCAATGGGTGATGCTCATCAGCAGTTTTAAAACAACCCTGACTCCACACCTTTGGGAATATCACTTTTATAGTCAAATAAGAAAATATACAAAACATAAGATTTGCATGAGAGCTTTATTATCTCTTTTATTTCCATAACTACCACTAAAGCCATTCCTCCTGGACAAGGAAGAATAAATATCTTCAATGCAGAAAGTTCAGTGAAGTGGCAGAATTATCTAATGGCTAATTTAAAGATGCACATAACCAGAGCACAGAGGTGATAGTTCTTTATACTAGCTGAACTTGCATTTCCTGAATTCCTCTTCAGAAGAATGGTGAGTGTCTTTAATCATGACACTTCTCTGAATCTCTGATTCTCTTGGGGCAATGATCTGTTAAAAGTTTGACATTTTAAAGAACAGAAGAAAAACATCTTGTTGCCAGAATTCCAAACATTAGCCACATTTGAGAATGCAAGCTTGATATTTTATGTGTGATACTGTATGGTATGCATGTGCACTCAGAGAACTTACTGATTTTGAGGTGCAATTTCTTGCTTCTAAGCGTGTACCTTTATAAGGAGTGTCTGGTATCTTCAGTAAGTATCTCTACTTTTGTAGGATGGGAGCAGTTTTCTCTTTCTGCTCATCTTGTTCAACGCTAAAAACAAACCACACCGAAACAATAAACAAATATCTACAGAAACCATCCCGACTTTATTATGAAAACCTCTCCTTCAATATTTTTAACATGTAAATGTTTTAATTAAGAAACATCTTGTCATGCAGTTTTACAGAAACCGTGGGTGAAAGTACTCTGAAGGTGATCCCACAAGTCGTGTCATTCACTGCTTTGCTGAGCAGGCGTTCTAAACCCAGCGTGTGATCTTGTGTTCTTTCCCCAAATCCCAGGGTTAATTCAATATAGCAGGAGAAAAAAGAGAAGAGTTTGCTTCCTTAGTTCAGAGTGTTATTAAATAAAGCATTTAAAACAGTCAAAATTTAGTTTTCTCCTCTGTTGAATGCTGTCTTTTTCCCACTTAGTGAGACCTGCTCTCTCAGAGCACTATTTGTTCCACTGCTTTGGTAGGATTTCCCATAGACATACCCATGCTAGCTTTGGACCCTTCTTCTCTATTGCCAGTACAGAATTCAACCCAGAATATTTGAGCAGTGTTAACTCAGAGCAGTTCTACTTTCTGCTCTAAACTTAGTGCTACTATTGCTGTGCTGATACAAATTTCAGTGAGCTGTAGTTAGAGCTTTGACAATGACTTTGTAAATCCTATTTTTTTTCCCTAAAAACTAGTTTTCATCCAGATATCTATTTTCTTTTGAGCAGGTTTTTAATAAGTTTTTTCCCCTGCAATTTTGGGGAAGGAACAGAGAATAACTGCACTACAAACCTATATGGCATATCTTCTGGAAGAGTGTATTCCATAATTGCTGGTGCCATTGGATCTTGGAGATTTCACATAGTCATCAGTAATGTCATTGGTGAAGAAACTCCAGAAGAGGGTGGCAGGGAGAAGAACTGCAGAGGATAGGACAAGGGAGGTTGCTTGGGCAGTGAGGTAGCTCTCTTATTTCTCTGTCACATCTGCTAAGATAATGCCAGGAAATAATTCCTTTGTCATGGACAGTAACCTCCCAAATCCTAAGAGAGCACAAAAAAGCTGTTCCACAGCACTCTGTGCCTGCCTGCCCAGACAAATATGTGATGGGATAGGAGATCATGAGTCCAGGGTGAGAAACCACAAGGATGTATCATTCATTAACACCACCCACAGCCTGCCTGCAGATGTGGGACCTGAGAACAGAGTGCTCATGTGGAGAATGTCAGGAAGCAGAAGCGTGGTAGGCTGCCTTGGCTGGCAAGCGCGAGATTACCTAACCCATGGTTAGCATGCAGTGTAGGCAGGTTCTATTAGCAAAGTTCAGACCATGATGTGCTAATTAAAGAAGAGGTTGTCCTAGTTACTAAGGCAATGAATGCTTTCAGTATTGCTGCTTCTACCTCTACAAAGCATGTTCTTAGCTGTCCCTTCGGTTGTATTTGTCAGATAGAGGGCTCAAGACTTGTTGCTTCAGTCATTACAGTGCTCCTGAGAGTTGATTTACAGGTCAAGAGTAACAGGTGAAAAAAATGCCAGGGGAAAGTGGTTTAAAATACTGCTTTATCAGGTACCTGTCTGGGGACAAGTTCCTCTTAAAACTATGGGTTTAGGTTACATGGTTTTGTTTTTTTTAAGCTCAGTTCTGCTTCTTTTGGGATAGATGCAGAAAAGATGAGGAGATTTGTATGCTTTAAAATTGGTCTAACTGTCAGCCTTCTGTAAGGAAGAGGCTGACTGAGTGCTGGAGCCAGCCCTAGAGTGAAGGAGATGTAATGGTTTGAATTTTTCATTAGTAAAGAAGCTGGCTACCACCAGACAGGCATCTTGCTTAGCTTAGTCTCACGAGAAAGCATTCTCTGATTCATTATTCCTCTACCACAATACATACTGTGCATAGGCAGCTGCTAGAAACAGAAGGATGCATCAACATCAACAGGACTGAAAACTGCATATTGTGAAGTTAATGTGGAAGTGAAAAACAGTCTTCATGGGGTGGTCCACAGCTAGCTTCAAGTTCCACAGCAGCTCTGTCATCCTTCTTTCTCCATGTGAGATTTATGCCAGTTTCAGCTTGAAACTTTACACCACTGTGTACAACATCTTCAAAGCAGTTTTTTCTCTTTCAGAAATCCTCTCACCACTGCTACAAATCTTTCTCCTCTGTCACTTTCTGGGGAAATGGTTGTTGGGCTGTAACTTTGTGAGATTCCAGAGCCATGATCCTCCTGTGTCTTGGAGATGGGCAAGAGCAATAAAATTCTCAATAAGAAAAAATTGTGTCTGTCTTTGGGAAACAATAGAGCTCTACATTCATCTCCAGTTTCCAGTATGCTGGGCCGCTGTTTTTTTTTTTTTGTTTTTTTTTTTTTTTTTTTTTTTTTTTTTTTTTTTTTTTTTTTTTTTTTTTTTTTTTTTTTTTTTTTTTTTTTTTTTNTTTTTGTCCTTATGCTTTCAATTCCTGAAGTAATTTTCCTTTAGCTGCCTATTAGACTGGAGAAAATTCCCTTTACTTCATCTTCTCCCCGCCTACTTCAATGCACATGTTGCAGCATCAGGTATCACCCCTCCCGACCAGCTGGTTCATTCCTGCATTCTCCAAGGAATAAGCTGCCATTTTCCAAAGACCCTTGAAGCTACAGAATTTCACTTCTAACTTCCTGAGGACCCTAACCCCAATGTGACATTTGCTTATCTTTCTCTTAAAAATGCTCCCTCTACAATTTTATCTGGTCTAATTTTGCGTTACAAACTCTGCATTGTCCTTTTGCTAACTCAAATGTTTCATCTGCACTGCATTCTGCTAAAAGGGGCTATGGAATCCTCATAACACAAAAATCTGAGCTGTACCTCAAAATGTACCTGACAAATGAGCAGAAACCTCTTGCTGCCCCAGACTCACAGCATAAGTGAATCTGCCAGAATCTCCTGCTGCCTGCTGGAGGCAAATGTGGACTGTCAGACTTTGAATATTTGGGATAAAGTTCTGAGAAAAGGAATTCTGTCCAGCAGCATCTAAGTTCTTACCCTGAGTTAGTTTCTTTTGGTGGTGTGGTCATTGATGTGGTTAGGTTTTTCTTTTAAACAATCTTTCTGTTAAAGCTGGAAGTAGAAAGGGTGAGACCTTGATGGTATATGACTAAAGCAGCATTTTCACTTGCATTTTGGTGGGGGATTCATCAGTTTACAGGGAGAGACAAAAGCTGCTGCAAATATTCTCACAGTCTGCTTTGAGGAGAACTGTGAGTGCCCACACAGGAGAAACTTTTACCATTACTAGGTATTATTAGTCTCAGTGGTCAATGTTCATCAGGAGTTCATCCTGCCTGATGAAGTCTTGGTCTGTGATGAAACCTGGTGTGTTAGTCCTTGCCAAATTAACAGGAAACTAAGGAAAACAGATATTACTAAAGACTTTTGCAGCTTATAAAATGTACTAACTGTTGTAAAATCCCTTGAACAATCTGCCTAGATAAGATACTAATGTGTTTATTGGATTTGCTGACCTTTAACAGAGGAATTTACTTTGAGCATAATCCATACTGGATGCTAAAAGTGACATGAGTCCTTGCAAGATGCCAAGAACTCTAAGAAATTTGGGATTGCTTTATATACTGTGTTTATAAATCAAATATATCAGTCCCTGCTTACATTCTGGGTTCATTTACACTTGGAGCTGATATTCCTAAAATTCCTCTCCCTTTCATAAGAAATCAGATCAGGGATAGGCTTAAATCTTTTATCTTGACGTCACTCCTGTATGTAACATTTGGAGATTGACTGACTACACTTATTTACTGCAGAAGCTCAGAGTGGGCAATAGCCAGCATAGCTGTTTTGCCATTCCCATTTAACCTCTACAGAATTATCACTATTTTACTCACTAATGTTCCACTGTCATCCCATTTACTGGTCTTCCTATTCAAGTTGGTTACTGATGGGACAGTTGGGCTCAACAGTTAATAACTTATCAAATGAGGAGGTTATAAAGCTAACTAATGGTATTTTGAATATTTCACAAGTTGGATGAAATTGTTGAGTTAATCATTCAGCAAACTGGGAAAGCTGTGAGCTGCAATGAGGCTTGTAGCCTTCGGTGTTTGTTCTCTGTGATTTTCTCACAGATTTCATCTTAATTACTTCCTTCAGTTCTCTGAAACATAAAATATTTTTTTTTTCATTCTTTTCATTTATTTTTGCATAGGTCTCTGGCTCCATTGTTCACCTCCACCTTTTCTTTTACCACTGCAATTTCCTCTTCCTGACCTATTTCTCTCTCCACCTCCTTATTTTTTATGTATTTATTTATTTATTTATTTGTGTATTTATTTATTTATTTATTCCTTCATGTGTTCTTATTACTTATTTTCATTCAGTTTTGGAGATCTGCATTCAAGGACCATCTTCATACATTCTCAACCTTTTCCAGAGTCCAGGTATCTGTCACTGCTCCTTAATCCTCCACCAACCTGTTCCTGCTTTAGGCTGGAGCATTGGCTTCTTGTCTTAGCTGAAGAGGAAAGAGCAACAGTGACTTTTACTGTTGGCAGCCATCCTTCTTTCCTCTCATGTGTTTCTTCTCATCTAGCAATTGCCATCAGTTCTGGGCAAACCACGAAAAAGTCACGAGACTGGCAGTTTTCCATTTTCCAGCATGCTGCTATCACAAACACCTTAGGGTCTGAGTTCCGCATTAAATACCAAAGATACCAAAGATATATTAAGATTATGTAATGTTCTAATCAGGTTGTGTCTTTTTGCTAAAGGAAAAGATCCTCTTATGGGTATTCCCTATGCTTTTTATAGACTAGCACTGTTAAAAAAAGGCTTGCTGAATTTCAGTGCCTACAACAGTATGAGCATTTAAATGTGTCTATTCCCAGATGAGAACCAGCATTAACAATGAGTTAGCTCTTAGACTGTAATCCCACCAACGCAAGCCATAAAAGGGAAAAAAAAAAAAAAAAGAAATCAAGAAATAAGCAGTAAAGTTCCTCAGTGATTTGTCTATGCTCCAGTCAACTGTTCTTTATTCTGGCTACCTTTTACTCCCTCCCACTGACCAGATGTTTGCATTTGCAGCCATGAATAACTGCTTTTAAAAAATCAAAGGAATCTGAAAATATATGAATAGATAAGAAATTTGGAAAAGGGATTCCTATAACTAAAGAAGTACAGAAGTCAGGCTGATTTTCTTCCCCTTTGAAAAAACATGTGTCAACTGGAAAATTACCTCTGTATCATACAGGGATTACTATCTCAAAACTTATTTCCTAAATCAATGTTTTCGTAACAGCAGTAGTATATTCCACCTAACTAGTTCTTTTTTACTACTGCACCTTTTGCTTCCCTCTGGAACAATTTCTTATGCAATAATTGTTTCAGACTGTTTAGTTCTGTTCATCCTGGGTGTTTTCTCAGCGGTGATAGCTGCAATCACAGCTGGTTTTCCATGGCTCTGGTATAGAGAAAGCAGCCTGCTGGGCCATGGCTCACATGGTGCTGCTCTGTTGCAAAGGTTTACATAATCCTGTAAAAGCCTACTTGATTTCCCTGCGAAAGCCAACAATATGCAGTGCTCAGCATATCTGTATGTCTTTTCTACAGCTGTGGTCTCAGCACCCATAGCCTCTGGTGACTCACTGAGACTAGAGATGGGATCTTCAGTCTCGTCCCAAAGAGTCTCAGACCTCCACTGAGTCATAGCATTTGCAACAAGCTCTGGAAAATTTCTAAACTCTTACACAGCTTGACATCATAAAAATATGAAAGTATAAAGAATCTATTTGAGATTATTTGTAGTGGTTGGTAAAATTAACTTGTGTTACCAGCAAGTTCCTCTCTTCTCAGTTCTGCTCACTGGGACTTATTTCACACAGTCTGTTCAGAATCCTATCTGATTCCATTTGTTTGGGGCACA